GCATCCAAATTAACAGGTAAAAAAATGATGTGTGGTGTTTGTGATCGAGAAATGTCAATATAAGAGCAACGCGCAGATAAAGTTATTCCACCATAAATCATTATGGGTTCGGAAGGATTTTCAAAAAATCAGCATGAAATACAATGGCCACGATATCTTCACCTTGGGTGCGTCGTCCCATCTCTCCTCACTTATCCCGTAACCTGCAAGGATTGGTGTACCACAGTGTTTCTCTGTCTTCTTGAGCATGCCTTGTGGATCGGGAACTCATTTCCGGAGGACCCTCGAGCATAATGCCCGAGGCGTTACCCCGTTTTTTGGGGAAGGGGGGTGTTACGGCTGTGGTCGTGGCTTCTTCCACTTTCCAAGCCATTCCACCTTCCTCCGTGGATATGACTTTTACTGTCATTCGAAAAGCCTCACATATCCTCATAGCTACATCCGCATTCGCTTTTGGAGTAATTGATTTCCGTTGCAAACGGAGAGCCGGGGACTTTGCAGCCACTGGGGATTTCACTATTATTTTCACCCATTTAACTGGTTCCTCACAGCTTACCGTGGCTTCCTTTTCTGCATTGCCATCTGCAACTAGGTTTCTGAGTTGCGGGGCTTTGTCCTGTGATCGTGGCGGGTTAGACCTTACCTTGCGGACCGCGGCGTTGCTTTTATTAAACCTCTTCTGTAGGCCCTTTCCTACATATGGTTTTTCAGGTACATTCCTTGGTACTTTTGGTGTGGATTTGCTCAAAGGCTCTCCAGTCCTTGGCACCCAAAGTACTACGCTTTGGGTGTGATGGGCGCTTACATTCCTCCATCTTCTAACTAGGTGCATCACCCTGATAGGTCTATCGAGGGTGAGTATTATACGCCCCTGAGTAAGATCCTCAATTTTTGGTGTTCGTGATAGTAGCCGATCTCTTATGTTTGTGTTTAGAAACACCACTAAGAGAAGCCTTGAACCACGTGAGCTTCCCTTTTCGACAGATCAATTGTATGACACTTGTTGTATGGGGTGTTCGTGGCAACCCTGCCAGCCTAAACGTTTTGCACATGGCGATGTTCAGCTTCTCGCCTCGGCTTCGCCATATTTATGATTGGCTCCGCACAATTATGCAAGAGCAAATTCTCATTCCTTCCTTAGGAAACTTTGCCGTTATTTTCAGCAAGTTAAGTTTTCTCTCCAATTGCTCAATCTGTTGTATCATTTCTCGGTAGTTAGGCTAAACCTCAGGTTTGATCACAGTCTTCTTAGCCTTTAAAGGCCTCATGGTCTGTGGTTTTGATTTCCTACTTCTCTTATTGGTGCACTTTTATTTGGGGATGACACAGAAGTAACACCTTTCGGTTTCTCCTTGTTTTCCTTATTTTGGGGAGCCATTGCTCCCATCAGAATGCTCTTGAACTCCTCGGCTGGTTTTACGGAGTGGTAATAAACCCACTTGAAAGACTTGTGCTCCATGTGGAATTGATACGCCTTTTTGCTAATTTGAGAGCATCACTGGTGGTACCACACTCCACTGCCATCGAATTGATTCCCCTGGGCATCATACTCTCTGCAACAATAGGCCTCACACGGAACCTTGTTGGAACCTTTTGTTCGTCATTCCATGCTAAAAAAGAATGTATAAATAAATAGTTTTCCAACCCTGTATAAGTAGACACGGGGTGATATAAAAACTTAAAAGAGGCGCTTTATCAAACTCAAAAATAAAATGCTTTAGGCCTGCAAAACACCAAAGAGATCGCATAAAAATTGACTAGTAAAAGTTTTGTGATCTTTGACAGATTACGTAGGATACTGGTAAACGGAAAACTACTACAAGAATTATTAGAGTGAAATATCTACTGATATGTCTCTAGTACCGGACAAAAAGTGCAAACGAGATACAGTACAGTGGAAACTCAAACCGCGCGCGAACGTACCGTAAGTTCAGTTCAGGTCACGTCAGTTTGGGTTAGATCAAAGGACTTTAGGCTTCGGCCAGTAAACTTACAGGTTCTTGCTCTTGTGAGCTGGTGGTTTTCACTGTGCTACGACTGCCAGATAGTTCCAAAGTTGTGCGCTGGATGTTGTACCTACATGAGAGGAGATGAAGAGAAGGATAGCCCTCGAGGAATCAGCAGTCTTAATCATTAGACAGGCACTGCACCTAAGAGGACTGCTACGCCTTCCACGAGAGCTTCCCGGGGGCTAAAAATGTTGTAGTAATTGTGCGTGAGGTGTGTGATGTAAAGGAGTGATGGTGAAATAGACAAACGAATACATAAGGGGGATGTGGTTAGTGACTGAGTCTTGTAAATCATTCTCTGGAAACACCTCGTCTCAGAAGTTGTCTAGTCTCCGGTTGAATTGCAGAGCATGAGTTGCTGCTATTACCGTAGATGGTAGCTTGTTTCCTACGTTGAACACGCGGTAGGAGAAAGATTGTGCCCTGGCACTTTGGTTGACCCGCGGTTTCATCAGCTTCCGTACATGCCCTCTGGGGGTTGGATTGAGATTTAGCGTAAACAAAGATCTATCTGCTAATGGTGGTTGTTTGAATGTATTAATCAATTCACCCCGCAGGCGACGGCGGTGTGCTGAGAATAAGTCACGGGACACCAGCCTTTCTTTGTATGACTTACCCTTCAGTCTACTAATCATCCGGGTGAACCTTCTTTGCATTGCCTCAAGCAGTTGTTTATCCCTTACTATGGGAGAGACCCATGCCTGAACACAGTACTCCAGATGTGGTCGCACAAAAGCCTTGTACGGTGGCAAGAGTACGTTAGCCTCCCTCGATGTTACCGTTCAGCAGAGTTGGAATAAGGCTGTATGGGCCTTTGCTGCGGCTACCGCACATTGTATTCAGGGTTTAAAGGATGAGTGTATCCGCAACCCTAGATCCCTAACCACATCGGTAGATTCTATGGCATTCGTCAACTCAGCGCCTAGTTGATGCACCTCCACTGCCCTTCTGTTGAGCAGCAGGTGCTGCATTTCCTGGCGTTGAGTGATAGCTCCCATGTGTCCGCTTAGCCATCAATTGCGTTTAGTGCCTCCTGTAATTCCTCCGAATGATGGATCTCCTACTACCTTGAGATCCTCCGCGAATAAGAACCCTGGGCTCCGGAATACCTCGGTAACGTCATTAACATACAGCACAAATAGTATGGGACCAAGAACTGAGCTCTAATGGACCCCACTACAGGCTGCTGCCGTTTCCGAGGTAACCGGTTCCACCATTACACGGAAAGTCCTCTCAATCCGTCTCACTACATGCTGGTCTATCCGAAGGGCTTTCAGTTTGTGCAGGAGGAACCTGTGGTTGACCGAGTCAAAGGATTTCCTGAAATCAAGTTAGCAAACTTCGACTCGATCCCCTGAGTCCAGCCTTTTTGTTACCTCGTCCAGGAACGGATCTAAGCCAGTTAGGCACAAATTTCTGTTGAAGAAGCCGTGTTGCTGTCCGGCTATAATGCCTGAAATCTTGACGTATTACACCAGTGCGAGGCTTGGCCCAATAGTCTCGAATCTTAGTGGTTTCCAAGGTTTCTTCTGGACCTGCGTCCCGTTGAGCCGGGTACAGACAAGGCTCCACTGCGGCGGATTTTGGAAAACTAAATTAAGTCCGCTCCCTGATTGTAAAAGACGCAGTATCCCGGTGTTCCAAGACAAGCTACAAGGAAAGAGTAGAAACCTATCCACAAGAGAGTGTGCCCAAAGTGAAGTTTATTAGAGGCTTAAGAGAACCACCCACATCTATGCATGACAGACTTGATGGCTTAGAACTCCCGCTGCTGGAACTCATTTATTTCGAAGGAAATGCTACAGATTATTGGCAATTCAAACGGCAGTTGGACAGCTTCTTTACTAGACTCTCTTGTGGAGAACGTAGAAAACTGGCTAATTTGTTACACCACTGTAAGGGAGTAGCTAGAGAGGCAATAGAACCTTGTATGCCAATGGCAGAGGAAGATGAGTTTCATACGACCAGGGAGATACCCAATAAATTATTTGATCGACCGCACGAAGTAGTCAGGGCTGTAATAAAAGCCGTTCTGGCTAAGACAGCGGATTTGAGTGGGACAGCCGAGGGCCTAAGTAGGTTTAGCATTAAATTGCGAAGCTGCTACACGCTTCTAACGGAAATGGGGTGTGGATCCGAGTTGGATTCCATACCCGCGCTGGAGTTATTAGTGACACGATTGCCCAGACGCTTAGAACGTAAGTGAGCCGAAGTGGCGGATGGGATCGTACTCAGTGGCGGACGGTACCGATTTATGAACTTTATTGAAATAATAGATGATACAGATAGTATGATACAGAACAGCCCTTTAGAAAGGCTAGTAGACAAGAGGCGTTCACCGGAAGCTAATCGCTCCTGGGGTCCTCGGCGTAACATGTATATGAACGTCACTACGACTAGACAAACATCAGCATCCGTACGGAACTTTTAGTGCCCGTTGTGTCTGAAACTACAACCACTTACTAAGTGTGAAGGTTTCGTCAGGTCGGTAGTAGCGGAGAGACGAAAAATTGTAAAGAAATTAAAGCTTTGCTATAAGTGCATTATATTTGGACACATGATGCGGGTATGTGAAGAAAATGGTAAATGCTCGGTTGATGGTTGCACCGGCAAGCACCATAACCTGCTTCACTTGTCGCCTAGGGATCAAGTGTCCGCGAATGTGCAAGTAATCGTGGGGGATATCTGTTCTGCACCGAATGATATTACTTACCTCGGAATAGTTCCGATAAAAATAATGCACGGCGACAAATCGTTGAAAGTATATGCCTTACTAAATAGCGGTTCAGATACCACAATATTTAGTAGAGAAGTTTCAGAACTGTTAAGGCTAAGTGGCCCGGGAGTACGAATAAACTTTCATACCGTGGCTGGAGAGCGACATATAGTCATACAGTCAAATAGTATCATTCGAATTTAACCCTCTTAGGGATACTAAAGACATCAACGTAAGCACTGCAGACACCATGGACGATCTATTGATGCCAAGAGCTCAGGTACCGACATAGAAACAAACCGCTCGATTAACCCACCTAAAGGGTATAGCAAGGGATCATCTGACAAACCCTAGGGTTCAGTTGATCATAGGTGATGATGTCCCCGAAGCTCACTGGGTGATTATTGGTCGATAAGGCGGGCCAAACGAGCTATTTGCGATCAAAACTCCGTTAGGATGGTTGATTATGGGACCGTCCTTGAACGTAACAGCTTGTCAACAAATGTTTATTGTCAACTGTCGTTCAAATATGTTTTCCTACGTGCTGGAGATTTGGTCAGTCAAAGTCAAGACATTGCGATTCTTATTGAACGTTATTCGGATTGCCGTTACAAAGATTACCTGAAAGGGGGTAAGAGCACTGGTGGGGGTGCAGTATCTGCATGCAGTGCGACAAATCGGAAAAATAGGGAAAAAATACGGAACATGAATAACACCATGGGACGGGGAGATCTTACCGTTCGGGAATTATACCAAGATACAAAATCAGATTCCTTCTGAAATATGATTTTGTGGGGACATTAACTACTTGTTAGTGGAGACTATTCCAAAGAGGAATGATCCTATGGATGGAAGAGCACTGACGGACTAGTGTACGGGCACGCGGTTTGAAGAGTTCATGCTACGCTCACCAAGAGTATCCATACTAGTGCTCATAAAGAAGTCATCTACACTGCCGGAATTACAGAAATTGTACAGTAGGAAGAAATCACCTCTTATCCGGCAGGTTTCAAGGGGGTACAGATTCAAGATGGAAAAGCGTGTGCGATAAGGGGTAGAGGATAAACCATGCACAAGTTTTGTCGCTCTCCGTTGTACACGCTCGAGAGCTCTACAGTACTCTGCAGTCGCTCACCAAGCGGGAATGAGCAATTTGACTTCCATATTCCAATAAGAGTCAAATGTATGTGCTATAGAGAATCTGAAAGTCATCTCTATCTATTCTGGGAAATGAACTTCTTAGGAAGTTAAGAACATGGAAGGCGGATCTACTGACTTTTTTGGTGATAGGAGAATGAGAGTGACCTGGTCAGCTAGAAACCAAGAACCGTATGGTGTTCTACACTCTCCATGGTCGTGGAAGAATTAGCCCTAAAGCAGTGTACAGGGACCCTCCCAAATGACATACTAATGCATTTGTCGTCGTTATGGGGAGGTTCTAGGCAGTAGACCAGCCTTTGACTGCATATATTGCTGATTGAACAGCCATAGGATTGGTGCTCAAAATTGTCATATCATCGGCATACATTGCGACGTTGACTCCGATCCTGTGTGGCAGATCAATAATATATATAAGGAAGGGGAGGGGCTAGGGACGGAACCTTGCGGGACTCCAGTTGAAATGGAAGAATGAGATGAGAGCAATGAACTTACGTGGACCGAGTAGGTGCGATTCGTGCGAAAGTCGCGGAGTAGGACCAGGAGTCTGCGAGTGAGGTCGTATGACTCAAGTTTATAGAGTATGAGAGCGTGGTGGACCCGATCGAAAGCTTTCGCAAAATCAATGAAATTGCATGGGGAATCAAGCCATCATCATGGGCTTGAGTCAGACTGTTTATAACGGACAGCATATTGGAGATGCAGGATCTTTCTAGGAGGAAGCCGCGTTGAGTTTGGTAAGAAATTAATATTCTGATAAGTGTTTCAGGATTGCTTTTTTAAAAACCCGTTGGAGGACCTTGCTGGGCACGCTAGTCAGGCCGATGAGTCTATGACCACTAGGAGTGTGCCGGTCCCCTTTTTTAGATTGGGGTGTAATGATGCTACTCTTCCAAGATAAATAGAATGTTCCAGCATCTCAACACTTTTAGAAGAGGGTGAAAAGTACGGGTCAAGGACCGAGGNCGAGGAGAGATTCGGTCTTCCCTGGAAGAATGATGACATTTTCAAATGGGGGGCGGTGTATTAAGAGGGGGAAGATTGGGGTGGAAGGAGACAGGAGGAAAGTTAAAGGCGGATTCATAATGAGACCAGATTTTGTGAAGTGGATTATCTTGACCCTACGAGCTAGGGGTGTTTCTGCTGGAAACCTCTCCCAGATTATCATGTGATTGTTGCATGCCTCTGTCTCAGGCAGCTTATTGGCGGCGTCCAAGATGATTTGGTCAGAGGTTTTGAGGGTCTTTTACCTGGCTTCAGTTTGGGGAGATAGGGCTGCTAGTAGTACCTTCTCCTCCACAACTTCGGTTTCCAGTTGGGCAAATTTCGTCTTTAGACTTGAGAATACCTCGCTCTGTGATAAGATCATCCTGTTTTGTACCACTGAAAAAGTGTTGATCACCATGTTTTCGAGGCGCACAGGTAGCATTTCCTCGTCCAGAGATATATCTGGGATTGAGAAAGTATCGGCTTTTGCTACTAGCATTCTAAAAGTAAATTGTGGTATAGCGATGGTATAATAAAAAAGGAAAACAGCAATAAATGGGAAATACAGTAGAATACGACAGTATTACACACTAAATTTTGGCCGTTGGTACACTAGAGGTAGCGGCCAGAAACGTGATACCAAAGGTGTTAGAAAAAGGTGATAGAAAAGGGATTACTAGCAGATAAAGCGGTGGGTTATTTCGGAATAAACTACTTTTAGTTGCGAAAAATGAATTTTTGAAGTAACCACTCAAAAATTTCAACTTGGCGCCAGCTCACCGCAAGGTCAATGTCCGAATATCCCACCAACCTCGCCCTAAGGGGAAGATCGAAGTTTTTCANCAGGACTACCGGAAACAGGCTTACTGGTCGACGGTTCGAAGCAGCTGCTCTTGACCCACCCCTATGGATTGGCATCACTTCTACCGTGTTCCAGTCGAACGACATCTTTCTGAGGTAAGGCATCGGTTGAAAAGTTGAGCCAGAGCACCTGCAATGATGTCAGCAATGGGACGCAGGATTGCTGGATGGAGCTCATCCGGGCCTACCTCCTTGTTCTGGTCTATATGTCTCAGTGCTTCTTCTACCCTCTCTGCCTGTAAGAAAAATGCTGCCATGTGCTGTTCGGGGAGCCTTTCCAGGTCA